ATAGATCTGCAGTACGATATCAATATTTGAGATGAGATGAGATGGCAAATTATTCATACCCTTCTTTAAGATGAATTATTGAAATGGCACTTGAGAGTTAAGGAATCTATCAATACATATTAAGTATTACAAATGTAAAAGTTTGAGAGGAAAAGTGTTCACGAACAGGACTAAAATATATTATTTATGTGTTGTAATCTCAGTAATTTTTTGATAGCCTAATTGGATTAAGAAAACCACAAAATGATATTTTCTTTATTTCCTGACCTACATTATATCTTACGATCAGTTCAGCTTGGCATCTCTAATCGCAGAAAGGACTCAGGTTAGTTTTAGGTTAGGTTCAGGCTTGAGGGCAAGGGCTTGATGAGTAATTCATGTACGTGTATGTGTACGTGTAAGTGAGTAGAGAGATTCTTGTGTGTTGCAACGAGTTTGTTGAAGTTCTGCTAATGTAGCCGTGCAGCAATAACAATACTTGTATGTTGGCAACAGCAATAGCAACAAGAGCAACGAACAGCTCAACTATGCAGCAGCGTGCAACTTGCAACAAAGGCATGCAGGCATTAAACTATGCAGGTTAATTTGACTAGAAACGTCGTTTGCTGCTGCTGCTGCTTCTTTTTGTTGCTTTATTCACTGCATGTCATGATGTAGTTGCTGTTGTTGTTAGATGAAGGCGCCCGCGGGCTACTTGGACACAAAGTTGGCCCAGGCATGTCGCCTGCCCCTTTCATTATGCGGCGTTGCTGTTAGAATGTGAAGCAAAGACAATGGACAAGACTCCAGCGGCATAGTTATAATCTATGCACATATATACACACATACATACATACATACATATCTACATGCATGTATATATTTGTATATACTGCACACTTGCATTGCACATATTTGCCACATACATGCAACAGATTCTCGAGTCATTTTGGACATTGTTGTTGTTCTTGTTGGTGTTGTGATAATGTTATATGTTTGCCTGTGAAGTGTTCGTGTGAAGTTGTTTTCCACTTCAAATGCGGCTCCTTTAAAGTGCAACGTTGCGTATGCGCAATTATTAAATGCTGCATAAGGACGCTTCGCGCTGCCATCGCAACTGAATGTTGTAAATTGTAAATTGCAAATTGTGAATACAATTTTTTATGTAATTGCTCGCAGCCATTTGACAGGATTTGTCATAGTGTTGATCCCATTAACATTTACGAACGCTATAAAAAACTGCATCACAAATTAAGCATTGAGCAAAAAGGACATGCGATAAAAGAGTGAATCCAAAGTGGCGAATGTGCTGCAAAGAGCATTGAACATATAAAAAAGGATATAACAAGTGAATACTAATTATTAGAATTGCTATTAAAGCAACTTTTGCATGTGATGCACCTAAGCTATCAGTGTCTGAAGGGAGACACAATCTGGTCATTTGAAAAATTGCAGATTGTGAATGTAATCCCAGAGAAAAAATAATAATAATAATGATATTCATTCTCTATTATTCTCTACTGTGGAAATATTAATAGTTAAGCTTATCCTAGTTAATTTTACCAATCAAAACATTCACGACCATGTAATTTGCATCACTCTTTCATTTTAATTCTACAACCCACTTTTTAATTTAAATTTACTGCTAAATAATCTATTGCCAAAAACGACGATTAAGTATTCTAGCCTATTTTGTATTACTTCACTTTGCTGGTCGTAACCCTTCACAATCCCCAATTGTACATATTTTTAAATATTTCTCACCAGTTCAAATCCGATAAAAGCCTTGTCAAGCCTCCGTTCAGTGGCCAACACAAAAAAAAAGAAAAAAAATATATATATGGAGGCACAAAACATAATAAAGGAAGAGGAACAACAAAAAAAGTGGACACCATGCAGCACAACATCCGCAACTGCAGCGCAGCAGCAGTGGCAACACCAGCAGCACCAAGGGCTGATTGCTGGCCATGTCCGCCACACAAAAAGGACTTCAACCCAGCCTCTACCCCCAATGTGTTAAACCTTTGACGCTTCATCGTTGTCGGAATTCAGTTACTGTTGCTGCTGACGTTGTTGCTGTTGTTGTTTTTGGTCGTTGCTGCTGCACACTAATTTCATTTTTTATACAAATCGAGGAGAATCCTCGCATTTCGTTATCGACTTTTGTTTGTTACCGCTTAGCTTGGCGATTTTCGACTTACTCGTATTTTTTTTGGTTTGATTTTTGTTTTTTTTTTTTGATTTGTTGATTTTATTTTTGTATTTTTCACTTGCAATGGAAAACAATTTTGATGGTTGTGCAACGCGTTGCGGAATTTGCATTCAATGACAATTTATGCAAATCGTATTGTCCGCCAGCCATTGCATATTGAATTAACTGCCGCCGATAGGTGCGAAGAAGAGGAGGACGTGCCACACGAAAGACAAGACAAAATTGTGGCCAATTGGCTGGCGATTTGTTAATTATGCGAGTATTGCAAGTAACACACATTTTGCAGGCATCCTGGGCATCATGGGAAATTTAATTCCATTTGTATACCTTTTGCCCGGAACACAGTCAAAATATGAATGGGTTGGCCAAATGGCGAAATGGCCAAATGGCGAAATGGCCAAATGGCCAAATGACCAGCCGGTCATCCAGAAGACCGAAGCAAGTGAGTGCGCTGGACGTGGCCGACAAAACGAACAATAGACCGTAAAATAAGTGCAAAGGCAGGCAAGCAGCATAAAAAGAAAATGAAAAACTTTGAGAGTGAGCGCAGAAAATTCAGCGAAATGAAAAATGAACAAAGTGCCCTAATGGCAAAGCATGCTGAACGCAAGCGGGCGGGGGGCACTGCAAACACACAATGAAGAGCATGTTCCTATTTAAAAGCAGAAAGCGGGCAGTCGAAGGTAGAGGGACAAAAATAAAATGTAAAAAAAAGTCAGCTTCAATTGAACAGTTAAACTTCCATTAATTGTGCGCCAGCAGCAGCGCTCGGCATAGCAAACGGAGAGCGAGAAGCTGGCGCTAGTGGATAGGGGATGGGGGCTGTAGGGGGACTTCAGCACTGTGCCAACTGTGTCAGTCTCAAATTTCAAATGCATGAGATGCTTACGTAAACAGGTCAGCCACCAAAATGTTGGCAAGTTATTTGAGACTTGCCAATTGTAAATGTAAAAAATAAGAGTGGAAGGGGGAGAGGGGGATGGGGATGGGCTGGTGGGTAGGGGAAATCGGCTGACGGCATTCAATTACATGATTGTGCCATTACTGGCAACAATAAGGGGCCTAAATGAAATTAACCAACATTTGGGCAGCTAATTGGTCGCCTAAATGGTCCAAGCTGCTCGTGTGGAAATCCATTCGACAAGCTCCTGCTGCACAAGCCATACCCCAACCCAGCACACCCCACCTTCCGTAGTGACACCCCTGACAGCTTCAATGAAGCGCATCACGTAAAGTGTCGCCAGTCACACTTCATTGAAGACTGTCAAAAATTTTCCATTTAACAAATTAGCAGGACACCAAAAAAAAAGTAAAGAAAAGAAGCAGAAAACAGGCAATTGCGCTTCAGTGGGGCACAAAAAAAGGAATCCACCAAGAACTGGAGCAATGACACCGAAATTAGTCTTAAGTTGGAAATAATGATGATAGGCCGGATGAGAATCGCCAGCTGCTGATAATGAAATACTGTCAGCCAACAAAAGGCTCGCCCCACTAATCCGCTAACAATTATAAAAAATAAGAAATACAGAAAGAGAATAAACCATTTGCAACATTAAAGCGCAGAGATTGGCCGCTTTAAAGCAGATTTGGAAAAATGTAAAAACAAAATACAAATGGAAACCAATACGCAAAAAAAAAAGAAAATATTTCAACACATAAACAAAAAATAAGAAGAGGGAAATGTGAATGGGCAAACATAAATCATTTGGTAGGAAAATGAAAAGCTTTGCGCAACAAGTCCACTAAACAATAAAAATCTGCGTTAGAAGACGAGAGAGCAAACGGGGAGAGCGGAGAGAACGGATGGCGGTTGCAAGGTTGCAAGGTGCCATCCAGCGGTTGACCGAGCGAAAAGAAATATATGTTAAATTAATATATATTAGAATTGATGGGTATTGTGGGATGGTGGAGACAGCGTACGCAAAAGGAAGGCGACTTTGAATGAAAGATTCCGACTTAACTCAACTGAAAAATACTTTAAGAGCGTGAGTATCCTTTTAAAATAAAATTGATCACATAAATACCAGCACGTTCCAAACAATACTCGATTGGTATATAGGAAAATAATAGTGGTAGATTTAAATAAGAAGGACTTAATAATTAAACTCAGAAGTAGGTTGTATAAGATTAATAATAAATAAATAAAATGCTGGCAACAATTTTTTGTTAAGTGTTTTTCTTCTAAAGCACAGGTATAAATGGATTAAGCATTTTTGATTTAATTTGATTGATTTAATGTTCGTTCATTAACTGTTTTCGATACGCATGTCAATTAAATGCAATTTGCAAAACAAGCATTCAATAATCATTAATATCATATCTTGTATTTATTATATGGTAAATTTCAAGCGAAAAAAGATGTCGATTGGATAGGCAGAGTATTTTTTATTTGTTGCCCACTGAATCTGCAATCCTGGCAACCTTGGGCATACTGGCATCCTGGCAATTTGTGGTTCGTGCTTTTGTAGTGTGATTTATTTGCTCGTCTGTGGCACTTAAACACTTATTTAATTTTTTATTTATTTTTTTTTTGATATTGTAGTGTTATGTTTGAGTACATGTATGGATGAAATCCTTTTCGCATTGATACTTTTTATTGTGTGCCCAACTAATGACATCAGAGGTTTTAAATATTAAATTGCATTTGCTTCAGTTAGTTTAAGCACATTCAAAATACAAGCATAACATCCTGAGAACTTAACTGCAAATTTTACGAATAATTAATTTGAAGTGAAATGATGCTAAGAGCATAATGATATTAGCCTCTTGGCAAAATATATGGCAAAATATAAAGGAAACAAAATTGTTTTTGCTTCGACTAACTAGGTAGATATTTTTATTAGCTTATGGAAGTGTGCGCTGACTTAACTTAAAAATGTGCAATAATGTTACCACCACCACCTGTAAAGCTTAATAACCCAAACCACCATTCGTACATCAAGCATTTTTCTACATTTATTTATGAAACGTGTGCAAATTTTATATGTTACAATAAGTGATCACATTTGCTTCCCAAAAAGAATAAGCTTGTACGAATTAGTAGTGGGTTGGGTTGTATTAACACAAATTCCTTAAAGCATTACATTAACAACGCAGGAGCGGACCAGTTGGAGGCTTATGGTAAAAAGTAGTGCTAATAAGGGGAAAAAAAAGAGATTCATAAAATTAATGTAGTTGGCTTTTTAGGTTGATGAGCTCACCCTGGGATCGGCTTTCTTCCAGCACTGATGGAACCACCAGGCCTTGTGGCATAGCGTATCTCCCTCAGGATGTATGCAATGCTCTGAGGCTGCCATCATATTATCCCTTACTGAGTGGGGCACAGAGCTGAAAAGCATCTCCAGATGGACATCGCCTTTGTCATCCACAACTTCGAACTCATGGAACAGGCAATTCATGTAGCACTTAAGCTTCTCATCCTCGTGTATTTCGCCATCGCTGAACTCTTTTATCGCCGCTGTGTAAATGATTGCAATTGTTGCAATTAAAAGTGTTTTTTAAATTGCTTGCAACACACACCTTCACTGACGCCGGTTTGCTCAACGCATATATCGTGAAAGATCTTTGCCATTCTGAGTACGTTATTCGGTGGATACTGCAATTAAAAAATGCTTTACCTAAGTAGGCGTGTCCTTGCCAGAACACTTTATTAACTCACGTTCTCCTCACGCTGTGGCAGAGCCGGCGACATCAGCGCATCGCTGAGCAGCGACAAGACGATTAACAGGCAGGCTGCGACAGGACGACGTCGGCGATTTCGACCAAAGTCACTCAAAGCCATTTCCATGTTACTCGTCTGTAAAACAGCAAAAATTGTTTGTACGCTCCGAACGGCCTTGTTTGCCAGTTGTGAAAGGCGAAACAAAAGCGACGATGCATAACAACAAAACAACGAACAAAAAAACAACAGGAAATGTTGGGCATAGCCAAATTTCAATACACTTTATTAGTAACTCTCTAAAGGGAAATATAATTTGCTTTCTAACTAATGAAATTCTCTTTATTCCGAAGAAAACACAAACACACTCAGTTGAATTATTTGGATTTCACGCCGAGAGAATAGAATAAAAACTATTTCGAAGAATTAAAGAAATACTAATGCATTAAATAAAATCATATGTAGCCTGCATATTTTAAGATCTACTCTTTAAAACTAGTAAACAGCAAGTTAAACTATTAAAATAAAAAACTTCGTAGAACTTGATTTTAACTAAAAATAAATCATTTTCTTCTTAAAGTAAAACTACACTAAACTAGAAGCACTCACACCAATGGTAATTACCATGACTTCATACTGAGAGAATGGTGATTTAAAAATATTTCGCAATATTAAGGAACAGCAAACTCAGATATTCTCGGATCTGCTCTTTTTATTTGTTGCACGCTTTTTGGCAAATTTAAAGAACCCTTAGTTAGGGTATGCAATGCGAAAACAACAGGATGCAGAATGGAATTGGATGGAGAACTGGCACTGACGACGTCGACGACGACGTGCCACGCGTGACAGCTGGACAATGACAATGTATGTGTATATGCACTACATACGTACACATATATGTATGCGCCACAGTGTGTGTTTGTGTGTTTGTGTGTGTGCCAGAGTTTTTCTAAGTGCGCTTTTTTGTAATTTTTATATCAGGAAGCCCAGGAGAGATGTAGGGGATGGGGTAGGGAAGTGAAACGAACAAAAAATCATTTGTTTCTTGCTAGCTCAGCGCACGCTAAATTAATTCCAACCGCCACAGCTGAACAAAAAGCTCGCCAAACGGAAACGGAAATGTGGCCCTGAAGCGGGGCTTCAGCAGCGCAGTTGTCAACATTCTTTCTTCGAATGCACAATTGTCGTGTTAATTTTGACAAGCAGATGCCCACGTGCGATGCCTCGGTCCCCACCCCCCTCCTATAAGGCCCAAAGATATATATATATATATATATATATATATACACACATAAATATATAGCGGCGAGTCTAAAATTTGCCATTCGCAATTCGCTGGTTTTTTTGAACACAAAAATACAATAGGAAGACGTCAACTTGCGCCCAACTGTCACTTTTGTTTCATCAAATGTCAACGCAACAGCCAACAACCAACAACCGAAACAAAGCCACAAAACGTCGTTGGCTCACACACACTCACACACGGAGTGAAATTCACAAAGAATGAATGAAATTACAATAGCAGCAACAGTTATGATGGAATGTACACATATTTATGTATGTATGTATGTGCATCACAGTTGGCCATGGCAGCAACGATGGATGGTTTTTTAATTGCCATTTCAATTTTCGTTATGCGAATTGTTGTCAACGTGTTTTTTTCATGTTTTTGATGTATTTTGTTTCTTCTTTTTTCAGTGTATTTCATTGCTTACCTCTGTGTGTTCCCTTTTTAAACTATAAAAAATGTTTCGCGGCACACGCTAGCACAGAAATTGTTTGACAACCGCAGTTGAAATTGAAATTGCTTTATTGCCATTTTTAGCGGCCTGTTTTATATCGATTCTGGACCAAGTTTTAGCGCTTCAAGCTTTCCACAACTATGAACATCAAGTCATTGATGCTCAATTTATATAATTTGAATATCGATGTCCATATTTATCTATGACCTTATTATTAAATGACTTAAATGACTATATACATATGTATGCATTGTATATACAAATTTCCTGCTGCATGCAACAAAGCACATGTACCACGCCCACTTGCGTGTCTTCAATTGCTAGCTGTACAATTTAAGCTTGCTCCCTTTCAAAGAAATTCAATTTTTTGTGGGCTAAGCAAATGTGCAATATGCAAATGCCATAATTCTGGGCATTTTAATGATTTGGTTCCACTAATCTAAATACTACGGCTTGATTTTAAACACCAAAAATATTCTATTAAATCGCTTGCACTAATATATATTCGGCAAAACATAGACACGATCCAATTTACTTATTGATGGCTACTAAAATGCTTTCACTAATATTAGTAATTATAATAACTGAACAGAAATACCCTTTAGAGCGGAGTAATTTTGCTGACATTTAAGTTTTTGTCCAGAGCTAGAAGAATTAGTATGTTTTATACGTTTCTATTACATATTTAAATTATTAATCAATTATTTTATTTATTTACATATTTTATTTATTTATTTACATTTGATTTATATGTTTTCTGTTTCTCGACTGGCTGGGATCACTGGGATACTCTATCAGAGAGGGTGACATATACACATGTAAAAGCTTAAATTGATCACACAAATTAAGACGTCTATTACATTAGATATTATTAAAGACAGAAATTCAGAGTGACTAAATTTAAATTCAAATTGCTATTTATTAATTATACATAGCCCTGTTACCATCAAAGGGCATTAATAAAATTCAACACGCATCTTATCGTAACAATGAGTAAATGGCATTTAAAATAAATGCTTGATTGAATAGTATTATTGAATTCGTGCACTATTCATTCCGATGTCTCAATTATGAAAGCTAATAAGAAATAAGAATAACGTTAAGAAAGTTTGAATAACGTTCCTGTAATAGCTGTGGGAATAAACTTGTCATTAAATTATCATTTATCTTCATTTAACATTACCCCTTAATTATTATGTGCCACGTTAGATCAATATTTTAGCCCAAAACAAATGTTACTTCTTTAACAAACTACTTTTTAATCCAATCGATATTGTTTACGATAGCGCAAATGTGTTACATTGATGTATTTATCATCGTTACCTGAAACTGCTCGTTTGGCATTCATTTTGAATTTCAATGCTGGCTGCACTGACAACTGCAATTGATTTCAGATTGCCACGTTTGATTGGTGAAATGAGCAAATGAATGAATAGTACAAAATGTTACAGATCTGTATACAATGACAAAGTGCCAAATGAAAAAGCAGAAGCCCATAAATTGAACAGTTTTTGTCCGTTGTCAATGATTAATGCAGAATTGTCATTGAATATTTGTATATTTAACGGGTTGTGTTTAATGGCTATGAATAACTCGAGCTGATCTAAAATATATACAGAATTAAAAACACGCAAAACATTTTTCTACTATCTTAACATTTGTTAAAACAATCAAAATATCCTGAGTTAGAAATATAAAATTAATTTACTCCAATTGAATCAAGAATTACATCATTTAAGTAGTAGTATACCTAAATAATCGATTATAAGGCAAATATGTTTTAAATAAAAATGAATTAAACCCTTTTTGCCACATTAGCTACAACCATAAATTTTGTTTATTTGATTTTTTTGATAGCAATTGTGCACTTTTCATTTTGTTTTATAGAAATACTATGTTATGCCAATGACACTGGAATCGATGCTACCAATATAAAATGCGCAGAAAAAGCTCATCTGTATTATTAATTATTTGTGGAAGTGGAAAATGGAGTCGACAGCCGCATATTAATTTTATAACGATGTCATTAATGCTTGGCGACGCATAAAATTATATAGATGCGCATTTTAGATAGGGCTAATTAAATAATTAAATATGCTTTAGGCCAACGCACTCAACGGATTTATTGGTGCGATCTATCAGCCATGGCAATTATGACTGCATATATATCAAAATATTCGAATTTAATTCAATTCGTATTCACAATGCTGCCATTCTAGCCATGGTCAAACTAGCAACAGCTGCAGCAAAAACTTTATGTGTTATTCCATTTCTAGTTTTCATATAATTTTTTTGTTTTTATTTATTTTTTTTGGGTTTTTGGAATGCTCGCCGAAACTCTATTTGTTGAATGTAAAATGTGGATGTGGAATGAAACTACAACACAGAATAAAATAAAAACATAAATCACAAGCCGTCATAAACCTTAGCAGGGATCACGCTCGTCTCTGTCCGCCCCTCAACGCTCAGATGAGAAAGTAATGCTGCAAGGATAATTTATTAGTGTTTGTTACGCTGCTAATCAGCTTGCGGGGATACTTGCCTTGGGATCCGCCTGCTTCCAGCAGCGGTGCAGCCAAAAGGCTCGCTCACATTTCGTGTCCCCCTTGGGGTAGAGACACCGTTTGCCCATGTTAATCGCAATGTCGTGCATCGAGTCCAAACGGTCCAGCAACTTCTCCAGATGCACCTCGCCATCCTCGTGCAGGACATCCGTCTCGTCGAACACACAGTACATGTAGCATTTCAGCTTCTCGTCCTCGTGCACCTCGCCATCGCTGAACTCCTTAATTGCCGCTGCAGACGACACACAAGTTGCAAGTACAGTTGTTCAGTGAGAGATGGCAACAGCTTGTTGGCATTAACCCGGCATCAAACACAAGTCCATCTAATCTACTTGACGGTTGCTTATTTACCAACACAACTACTTACCTTCGGTCACGCCCGTCTTGGCAACGCAGGTATCGTGTACAGGTGCCAAAGCCTTTAGCAGCTCCGGCGGAGGATACTGTGAAATCGAAGTTGTTTTTGTGAAATTTAAACATTTTTATTGTGCCTAAGGATCAAACGGAATCAGCTCTCTATAACTAAACAATTTATTTTCTATATCAAAATTATTTCGTATAAGCGAGTTCATTAAATTTTTGATAGAGAACAATTTGAAAATAATTCGATAGATAAATCTTCCTTAAGATTGTTTCATAACTTGAGCTTTACATATCTAAAACACAAATTTATATTAAGCTGAAACATAAACATGAACGGATATATTTAAAATATTGACAAAATTTTTTTGACACTACTTTGAAAGTATATTCATATTATCAAGTTTCACTGGAAATAAAATCACAAACTATTTCTCGAGCTTGCATCGTCAAGTCAACTTGCCCCCTCCGTTTACTTTATTAACTTAACTTGTAATTTTACTTATCTTTTCAACGCCGTTAGCGATCTGGAGTTGCTTACCGTTTCATCACGACGCAGTTCAACTGCCCGAGTGCCACGCCCCATCAGCACAGAGCAGAGCAATAAAATGCAAAAAATGTTAATAGTGGCACGCAGGAACATGATGCCGCACAGCTGCTGGTCAATCTGCAACGTAAGTCAAGTCAGGAGTCCAAAGTAGCGGTAAGCTCCGGAAGCACGTGATATGCAGGATATCAGGGATCAAGGATTTAGTGGTATTGCAGCCAGCGTACTCTCTACCTCACTCTCTCTCTCTTTCTCTCTGTTTCTCCCTCTCTCTCTCTCTCTGTCTCTCTCTGTGCGTGGATGTGTCTGTTTGTGTGTGTACGTGCCACTCGGGGTATTAGCAGACGAAATTGAATGACTTCAATGTGGGCGAAGAGGCCAAATGCAACTGCAACTGGCCACACAGCAAGTGGATGCTTTATAGCCGATTGTAACTACAGCTTGATCAGTGCAATTAGGTGGCATTAATTGCTGGTAAGCCAGCAGGGCTATAATTAAAGCAAAATCCAAACAGAGAGCCCACAATTTGCCAATCAAAGCGCATTCAGCAAGGCGCGAAAATACATGGCTCACGCGGCAAATAATCATTCGCCATGTTTGATGGCCAAAATGGCTACGACCCCGTCGACCCAGAGGCAACAAGTTAATAACAATAGCAACAATATCAACAACAACAACAACAAGAGCAGCAGCCACACGCAGAGAGCTATTAAATATAATGTGAGGCGACTGGCAGTCCTTAAACCGCACCCCATCATTTGGGCCCACACGAAACGCGTTAATTACGGTAGCATTGCAATTTTTGTTTTTTTTTTCTGGTTATTGTTTTTTCTGTTCTTGCTCTCACATTCATTAATTATTATGCAAGCTAAGCGCTTGACACAAGTTTTGGATGACGGTCTCTCTGTCTCTCTCGCTCTCACTCTCTGTCTCTGTGGGCCTCTCATTCGCTCTCTCTTTCTTTTTCTCATGCTTTAACATGCAAGCGCAACGTGTCAAATTAATTTTTAATAGCCACCCACATCACACCGCCCCCCGTCGTTTGACTGTTGCCAAATAATAGATTTAAACGAGGCGCACACCACCACAAGGTCCAACATCAAAACTTGGGGTATGCCCATGCATTGTAATTAAAGTTTTGGGGCCATGCTGGGGTCATTCCAGCTACAAGCTAACCCAAAATAAACGTTAATATACGCACAAAGGCACTGCTGCCAAGTTGCCACATTCAACTTGACATTTGGGTGTTGCCTGTTGTCCTCTTGCAGTCGTCGTCTGCCTGTTACCCATAATTGCGCAGTATGTTGAAGGTATTTAATGCAGCACTGCACCATAGAACAAATGACATCTCTGTCTGACAGAAATGACATTCTTTCGTAATAAATAGTTTAGAAACGTCCTAAAAATTTTCCAACTATTTGTGAATTTTACATTTTAACCTAACTGGTTCCTTTAATTTTTAGTTCATTTCATTGTGTTTTTAAATGTATAAAAGTTTTTTTATATTTCGTAAAGTTTGTAGACTTGTTTGTCCACATTACATAGATAAATAAATATAAGATACAAATTCACTGTGAAATATTCTCTTACACGTATTAATCATTTATCAGAAAACATTAAAAATAAATGAGCTGAAAATTGATTTTGTTCTTTTCTCTGACAAAATGCATCCCCTTCTGCAGCACAAATTTGGTAAGAAGGCTCAATAAAGTATTGAAAACTATTTAAGCCTTTCTTTCTGTATAACTAAAATTGATGCTATTTATTTTTTATATAATTCTATTGCAATATATTTGCAACTTTCTATTCTCATTTTTAAAATTGTTATTTTTGAAGTGAAATGTATTCTACCAATATTGGAATTAAATATTTGTGGACTGCCATATCTTTATATAGTTAATTTATACTAAAAAAACACACGTTTTTATCGATAGTACAGTGAAGTCAGTGTTTAGTGTATGGCTGTGTGCGTCTGTCTGTGTGTATTGACATCTGACACTTGCAAATTAGATGCCGGCATGCTGAATGGTCGGGGACAATGCTGCATATGATGTTGCACATTGTGTGTTGTACAACTTATTGACACCTTATTTGCGCTCACAAAACGCACAACCCGTTTGCGGTTTTTGCACACAATTTACATGTGAAATTTTTCAGAGCCAGAATGGCTGCCAGCCTGCCAGCCTGCCATGAAAAGTTGCAGCTGCTAACCACAGCGGCAGTGGCAGTTACATCATTGTCAGCGACTGGACACTGGCCAGGACGAGCGAGGACAACTTCGTTAAGCGAACTGCAGAATTTTGTGCAGTTTGTCAGGGGACTAAAAACGAGAGAAAGAGTGGGCAGCAGACATAAAAGGGGTACCAGAAAATTTGAATGGCGCGTTTGTTGCGGCCATTTGTATGGACTCTTGTGGTTTTGCTGCTGCCGGATATAATCGATTTACTGTTGTCCAGCAACCTACTTGCTACGCATTTCATCAACATCATGCAACAAACCCAAAAACTGAAATGGGGGAAAACTGAAAAGCGAGAACTGAGTACTGCTGCTGAGAAAAGGGTGACACTCCATGGGAGGTGGCTTTGCCGTAGCCGACTCCAATGAATTATAATTAATGATTGCGGCCTGGGCGCCGGCTTAGCATTGCAAAATTTATAGCCCGACCAGTGAAGCCGGCTGCCTGAGTATAATAAATTTAAATTAGCACTACGCAAATAAATACGCACAATAAATAACTAGCCAAGGTCAACAATTTAGGGCCATTTGATATGCATTTAACATTTTATTGCTCATTATTATAATTATTATGATTATTTATAACCAGGTCAGCTTTCTGTTATACATATATATATATATTTTTTTTTTTGCACACATTAAATTCAAAGTACCGCTCAAAGCAATGCAACTTGCATCATTAACATATTCACAGTCTATTAATTTTCCACGCACACACGCAAGTCTCAAGCGCTCAAGTCGCTGTTGCTGGTTTGCAAGTTGAGCCTTTGGCAACATAATTAGAAACTTTTGCACTTAAATGCAAGTCGAGAGCATGCGGCCAGTCGAATGAATGCATTAAGCCAAAGTGTAAGCCAAGTACGCGTTAGAAATGTGCCATTACTGCTACGAGTATATGAACTGGAACTCACCCTTGTTTTGCTTCTATGAAACGCACTTGCTGTAAGTACTAAAAGACGAGGTCATTAAACACAATACGGATAATCGTTAACATCCCCCAAATTGCAACTCAAAATCTATTTAGGAAATCTTTTTCAACACACATACAAAAATGTAAAGAGTACTGCTTTTGAGCTGCCAAGACTTAATGTTGTAAGGAAGAACTGCAGAAGAACTGGTATAGATATTTTCGTTCTTCACACAACTTCAGAGGTTACTTTATTTAATTTTCGAATAATATATTTGTACTTTGAAATGTGTAAAACAAAAAATACAAGTTTGTTGCAGACAGAAGTGCAAATTGAATTAATGTCCTACTCAAATCAATACAAATTCCGATTCGTACTTGTGACTTAAGCATTCTGCGTGATTTGGCCTTTTCTGTTATTTAATATGGAAATGATTGTTATGCTTTGAAACATTTATTGCTGTGTGCCAACTGTGTATGATTGAGCGATTTGGTCTGATTCTGACCAATTTGAATGGCCGAGAGAGAGAGAGAGGTGTGTGTGATTGTATGCGTGGTTGCAATTTAAATACAGAGGCACTTAACTTTATGCGTGACCCATAAAATTGGTCATAAATGCATCAAATGGCTTGACATTAAATATTAATTACGGATAAAATATGCGCGCACGATTTTCTCGGAGCGTTTGTGAGTTTGGGGTTATTAAACAATATTTCGAACTGCAACTGAATGCAGACGTCAACAATAAAATGTTGAACTTTTTTAAATTTTCGAATGCAAAAGAGGCTTACAAGTTAAACGGTTGGCCAAACGCTTGCAAACGGGCCGAAATGGGCGGGGTCATCAGGCAAAGGTTAAGGGGAACAAGGGGCACCTCCAGCAGCAATGTCATTGATATTCATGAGCCCGGGGCGTTTGAACTTGACAGTGATTAAGATTTGACTGTCCTAACCAAAACAAAGGAATAACAAAATCAAAAAATTATATTCTCAAAAGTGGACGACTATTTAAAGCCCTGTAATTATGTGTGACATAAAATGCAACTAAAATAGTGCTAAGAAAAAACAAAACTCTTAACCAATGCTTTCAAAATCAGTTCGTTATATTGTATGTGTTTAATTTGTGTTATGAATGTTTTTTTTTTTTTATGGATGCAAAAATCTGTCACTTTATCTGTTAAGTAAATTTGCAGAAATCTTTGTTAGTCTTTCTATGCCCTAGTACAGGGTATACATAAAAAAAGGCTGCTGGTATTCGCTTTACAAATGTAAATTAGACCGCCATTTTTTGCGCTGTGGCAGATATTTTAATTTAGTCTGTAAAAATGACACGGCCACAAACAAAAAAGGCGCAACGAGCTGAGCTGAACTGAGCTGCGATGTTTGCCCTTTGTTTTGTTAGTCAGGGCCAAAAGCATCTGGCCATAGCCATCTTTAGCCTTTTTTACATTTTGGTGGTGGTGATTTTTAAGTCAAAAGCGCGGCTACATCAAAAGGGTTTGCCCGTGGGTGGGTATGGAAATTTTTCTGGCTGTCGAATTTTTATACGAAAATGTCAAGCTGCTAGCAAAGCAATGCAAAGAAGAAAACAAAAAAAAAAAAACAAAATTCAACAAAAAATTGTAATAAAAACCCAAATAAAAGGCAAATGACGGCAATTTAATGGTTCAGACGCGAAAACAATAGTGTTGTTCTTGTTATTGTTTTTGGTGTTGCTGTTCTTGCTGTTTTGCGGCAGAGAGAGGAATGTGAAATATGTAATGTGTTTTTGAAAGCCAAAGTTGGCAACAGCAGCTCCTGCTGCTTGCTACCTATGAAGTTTTTTATCTGCTCGTTGCAGCTGCTTCAAAAAGTTGTCGTTTGCTGCCTGCTGCAATGGGCAGTGCAAAAGTAAACTTTAATTATAGCTGGACAGTAGTGCTTCTAATGAATGCCCCTCTCGTTGCCCCTCACCCCTCGGCTCGGCCCTTACTTGCTGCGTTTTCTATTTGCCTGAATTTGCCTTATTAAAACTTTCCGTCAACTTGCGACTCTGACGTTCTTTTTGGGCTTAAAGCTTCGTCTGTTGCCATAGCTCTGTTGTGTTGGCCCTCTGTACATATACATCTATATAGTATTTATATATTTATTTGCATGACAACAGCAGCAAGCCAAAAATTTAATTAGATTTAAATTCTTGGCTGTCTAATGTGCCGCTTCAGTTTCTTTTTTTCCCTTATTTTCATTCCGTTTTTGTTTTTGTTATTTGCTT